CCATTGCGCTGGTTTGTCTCTATCCGGCGATGGCTGTCATAGCGGACATGGAACCCCCAAGATAACCGCACCTCTTCGTGTGGAACCAGAACCGGGGAGATGTGTACATTGGAAGGAGAAGCGGAGGTGGCGGATGAGCATGAGGATGAGCAGGAAGATGAGGATGAGGAAGGAGTAGGAGGAACAGAAACAGCAGAAGCAAGAACACGACGAGCACCAGGAACGGAAGGACCACGGGAAGGCGGAGGAGATAGGAGGGGGGCGATAACCTCGATGAAAGACTCTGATCCAGAAATGTTTCCCCGCCGAGTAGACAACGCCATTCTGAACGACGGGGGGACAAGGGTGATCCTGAAGAGAGGCCACGCCTGCGACGGGAACACCCGTTCCAAAACCGAACGGAAGAACAACGCCTCGATCGAACCGCACCACGAATTCAATCGTTGGCTGAATACTGATCCGTGACTGTACGGTATGCGGGACAACAAAGTGCTCCCGTCCAGGCAGAGCATCTGGGAACATATGACTGCAGCGGATATCCATATGCATCTACATTTGTACACACATGTATACAGATTCGCATCTGGAATAACAGCTGGGGAGAGGGCGATGGGAGGAAGGGTGGGAGAGGGCGGGGGAGAGGATGGCGGGCGGGAGGATGGCTGGGCGGGGGGGGATGGGGGGAGGGATGGAGTTGGGAGGCGGGGAGGCACGGCCGAGGGGGGAGATTCTGGAGGGACAGAGGGAGGAATGGGGAGAGGGCGGGAGGGGCGGGAAGGGGATGGTTCGGGGATGGACAGACCCCCCTTTAGTAAAACGTGGTTTAGTGAAAACGACCTGAGGTCCAAACCTGGCGGGCGCAAGCCTGGAAAATAACGGTCACGGCGCCCTCTCGAGAACCGAAAACGAACACTTCACTAATCGACGTGTCACTGTTGGGGGTTCTGTCCACCCCCGAAAGGTGGTGGGGGGGGGATGGCGGGGGCGGGGGGGGGGGGGATGGAGTGGGGAGGCGGGAAGGCACGGTCGAGGGTTGGAGGGCGGTCATACACACGAGAGAAGCAAAGCATGTATCCTCAGGGCGCAGGGAGCAAGGACCCCACATGGCGTGGGGGGGCTGGGGAGGGGGGGGATGGTGAGGGGAGAGGGCACGGTATAGGGGGGGGGGTCGGCAAGAACAACTCAAGGAAGAGAACATTTTCCGACAGGATGCAGAGAACAGGATCCTCCAGTCTAAGGCTGGGCGGGTTCAACCTACCCAGCTAGTCGCGGTCCTATGCGCACATCAGCTATCGCGGCACAGGAGGCCCACAGGAGAGGGGGTTGAGAAGAAGGGGAAAGCGAGGGGAGGGAGATGAAGACGGGGAGTGGTAAGGTCGCGGAGGGAGAGCGGGGATGGAGCACGAGATCACGAGCGCGAAACCACAGAGCCCCAGACTACCACCTGTCTCAGAGAAGGCACGACGGTCTAAGGAAATGGGGATACAGCATCAGAGTTTCTCCTCACTTTCTCAGAGTGGTGGAGCCTCTAGAAATGTGGCTTCCTAGCTTTCCACGTGCGCGCGGGCACCACTTCTTCTCGACGCCGGCGCACGTCAGCAGAAGCGAGATCGGGACACTCAAAGGTTCGGGGTCCTCTTTGGGGTCCCACATCTGGACGGAACAGCCGCGTCCACCAAAAACGCCAACCGCAACATCCCCAAGTGAGCGTTTTTCCCTACCTAGGCTCTGCCTAGAAGGGTTCTTACTCGGTTTGCTTACAAGGGCCGGGCAGTGCTACGCGCCCCGGGCGGTTCCCCCGGTCCCCTGGGAGCAAGCAAAAAGAACAGCAAAGGTAAAAACAAACGCGCGGTTCCCCCAGTGGCGCTCTCTGGGTGCCAAGCAAAAGCAAAAGCAAAGGCAAAAGTGAAGGCAAAAGCGAAGGCAATGCAAAAGCATAGCATAGCATAGCATAGCGCAGCAGAGCATAGCGCAGCATAGCATAGCATAACCTAGCATAGCCTAGCCTGGCCGGGCCTAGCCCAGCATAGCATGCTATGCTATGCGAAAGGCAAAAGCAAAGGCAAGAGCAAAAGCAAAGGCAACGCAAAGCAAAAGCAAAACCAATGCGAAGTTGTAGATGTAGATGTAGATGTAGATGTAGATGTAGATGTAGGTGTAGGTGTAGTTGTGGATGTAGGTGTATATGTAGATGTAGATGTAGGTGTAGATGTAGATGTAGATGTGAGTCTCGCTGTTGATGTAGATGTAGATGTAGATGCAGGTGTAGATGTAGATGTAGCTGTGATGTATATGTAGGTCTAGATGTAGATGTAGGTGTCGATGTATATGTAGATGTAGATATAGATGTAAAGAACTCCCCAGTGCCCCGCCCTCATCTCCGTGCCGGCTTGTTTTTGCTGCTGTCTCGGCGGCTTGCTGCCTGCTTCTGCTGCTGCTTCACTTACGGCGTGGCGTCGGCGGTTCTGGCGCTACTACTACTACTACTACTACTACTACTACTGCTACTACTACTGCTACTACTACTACTACTACTACTACTACTACTACTACTACTACAATTACTACTACTACTACTACTACTACTACTACTACTACTACTACTACTACTACTACTACTACTACTACTACTACTACTACTACTACCGCTACTGCTACAACTACAACTACAACTACGACGATGAGGAGAAGGAGGAGGACGGCGTTTACCGCTCCTACTAATGTTGCTTTCCTAGAGGCTCCAACTCCTAGGTAGGGTCGCACTGGGATAATCTTATTCAGCATTTCGACATTGAGCGAAGAGGGGGAGGAGGGGGGGGGTCTGGTTCCGGACCTCTGCTTAGTGCGACTGTTTGCAGCAGTGCCTCCTGTGAGGAAGGCTCCACCTGCTCGAAACAGGCGCCGAAAACAGCCAAGATCTACTCCATGGGAGGGGGGGAAGGGGGGTTGAGAGGGCCTGCGCCGATCGGCAAAACAACGAGTAAAAAAACGATCACCAGTAAGATGATGGAAACCAACCGCTGCTTCGGCCAGCGCCCTCAAAGCGCACGAGGCGCCCACGAGGCGCCACACGGCCGTGCACCGAGCGAACAAATCCAGGGACTACCGGAGATCCGCGCGGAGCCCCGAGAAGGTACAGACTGACCCAGACCACCCCAACCCAACCCGAAGACCCGAATTTCGGGTTGGGGAGGGTACGGGTTCCATTTGTATTTTCTCAATTTTCCCCGACACCCCCCCCCACTGGAAATGGAAGGCACATTGAGGCCTTCGGGCTAGGTTGGGGTGGACAAACGAACATCCTTGAAAAACACGGGTCCCTCCGCCGGCCCGACTCGAAGAACCTTCGAGAGTACCCTCCCCCGGGATGCATAAGAACCCCTGGCAGGCACGAAGAACAGCAGGGTACCCTCTCCGAACTGACCTCGATTTTACACCTCGGCCCGACTGTTTGTCTATGTCTATGCATGTTTTGCCCCTCGCCTGATGCCACTGCCACAGCTGCACGCTGGACCTCCAATGCCCATGCGGGGGGGGGGGGGCCTCTTGGGCCCTCGCTCCGAGCGACGGCCTGGCATCTGGACACAACCGAGGCGTCCTGCCCGCTCGATCATCTGGCACAGGCGGGGAGGGACGAGGAGGCTAAAAGGGGGAGGCTGGGAAGCCGATGAAGAGGCTAAGCTGGATGAGGACAAACGTACCCAATATTGCACGCCGGTCGGAAGAAGTACGTAAAAACACGAGGCAGGAAGGCGGATGAAGAAGGTTAGGCTCAGGCCCTCCCAGAGGATAACAGAACGCAGCACACTCATACCGATTATGAAAGTAGGAGGGCGCTACAAAAAGATTGGGATCTGCGGATCCAAAGATACCTTACATGTCGCTCATTTCTACTCGTGCTCATTTCTGACTGTGCTCGTTTCTAATTGCTCCTGGCCCCCTGGTGGCCAGGAAGAGGCCCAAGATAGAACGATCAGAAATGAGAGGATCCTGGCACCCCAAAAATCAAAGTACAAATGAACAATACCTACTTTAGAACGGGACGGGCACGGTCTGAAACGTTTGCCCGGCGTGTCGCGGCGCCCCCCCCCCCCCCAGCGCAGCGACACGCTGCGCCGCGCCCTGCGAGCGGACAGCGTGCCGCTCCGCCCCGCGGGGCGGGGGGCTCGGAGAAGCTCTGGACGTGGACCCCTGGGGACCCGAACGTGTGAGGGGAGGCGAAGGGTTATGTGGCAATCCATGGGAGCATCTCACGCCAGCTTGCTGGCTCTTGCGAATCGGCGCTAGCGAATGCTAACCGACGCTCGTCGACGCTAAATCGACCCGAAGTCCATGCTTCCCCATCGATTACCAAACGCAGGCGCACACGAGTGCACTCTGCAAACGGAATCTCGAGGACACACCAGGCACACAGGAGCTACCACGGAAGGGGAAGGCTAGGCGGCCGATTAAGGGACTAAGCCCGACTCAACATCAGGCCAGACCAGGCGGCAGCTGGTTTTCCCTTTTGCCTTCGGGCGCGGGAGGAGTTAACGCGCCGAGGATTATCCCCCAGCGGCGGGGCAAAAACCGGCTGCGTGCAGCTGCTTTCGTACCCCTCCCTCCTTTCTCGGTTTCCCCCACTGCGTCCTGCCCGAGGGGCGGGGGGCGGCCCGCGTAATTACGTCAGAAACCCGTGCCTGTCGCCAAACCGCCTGGCCGAGCTCGAGACCAGTAGCCTACTCGACAACGCTACACTTGCAAATTGCGTCGATCCGGCAAGTGGGGCTGGGGGAAGGGGGGAGGAAGGAGGGGGAGGAGGCAGAGGAAGAGGAGCCGCATGAGCAGCAGCACGAGCAGCAGCAGGATCAGCAGCAGGAGCAGGAGCAGGAGCAGCAGCAGGAGCAGGAGCAGGAGCAGGAGCAGCATGCAGCAGGATCAGGATGGGGGGACTGAGGCCTCGACTCGGCGCGCACGTCCGTGGCGGCAGGGCCGGACAGGGCAGGAATACCCACGCATGCGTCAGATGTCCAGGATCCTCCTGCATGCTCTGGTCGGGGTGGCCGCCTCTGTGTGGTCGTCCTCTGGACGACGCCAACCCCAGAGATCCGATGTCGTGATTGTTTCACTGCGCGGTCCCCGGAAATCTCGACGCATTCCCCAGGACCGGTTTTTCATCCTGAGCCGTTTCTTGACGGTCCCGCGGCCAGGCGAGTGCCCCTAGTGGCCGAATTTTGCGAAAGACCTCCGCCTTGTTTTTTTCAACACGTTGGATCTCTGGGACGATGCACCGACGCCGCGCCGGGCCGCGCTTCTGGCTCTTGCCGGTTCAGAGTGCCCCCCCCCCTGAGGAGGGGAGGACTGGCATAATGGGGGATGCATCGACCCGGACTCGGCGATACCTCGCCGATAGATGAGCGAGATGTCCCTGATGGTGAGTCCGCACCTTCCTGGGCAGGTCGAGACTATCGGGCCCCCATCGTTGCATCCCCCCCTGTACCTATCCCCCCTGTGCTCAAGTCAGGACTGTCCCCCTACAGGGGGATCTTCGACGAAAAATTGAAAAAAAAAAAAAAAGGATCCAAAAATAGTCCAAGAATGGTGTGGGGACTGTTTCTTAATTTGTTTTACCCTTTTGGGGCATTTGGTTATTTGTCGTCGGAAATCCCCCTGTAGGGGGACACGCCCGACATAGCCCTGTGCCTATCCCCCCCCCATCGCTGCCCTTGACCCCCCCCCCCGCTCTCGCCGCCAGTCTCGCTCGAGGCCGGGGCCGCCAGAAGGGCCCCGCCCCGCCCCGGCCCCTTCTGGGGGCCGCGGACTCCTCCTCCTCCTCCTCCTCCTCCTCCACCTCCTCCTCCTCCTCCTCCTCCTCCTCCTCTTCCTCCTCCTCCTCCACCTCCTCCTCTTCCTCCTCCTCCTGTGCCTAGATCCCCCCCATGCCTATCCCCCCCAATCGTTGCCCCTGACCCCCCCCCCCCCCCCCCGCTCTCGCCGCCAGTCTCGCCCGAGGCCGGGGCCGCCAGAAGGGCCCCGCCCCGGCCCCTCTGGGGGCCGCGGACTCCTCCTCCACTCCTCCTCCTACTCCTCCTCCACCTCCCCCTCCTCCTCCTCCTCCTCCTCCTCCTCCTCCTCCACCTCCTCCTCCTCATCCTCCTCCTCCGCCTCCTCCTCCTCCTACTTCCTGGGGTCTGCGCGTGCTGACGACGAGGGAGCCCGGCCGCAGCGCTCGGCTGCACGCTGAGGAGGGGACCCAGGCAAGGAGTGACCTTTGGTGCGCGGCTTCCTGGCCGCTACGGGCGATGCGACATCAGCGGCCTGCGCGCTTTGGTCTGAGGCAAATTCTCCTTCGACTCTGGCGTCTTTGCTTGCATGGAGGGGGGAGGGGGGGGGGGCGTGGTGAGGCCCGCAAGGGAATCTGGACCGGGACTCACTGGCGCACCTCTTCGGGCCAGCATTGCTTGAAAAGGCGGCAGAGGGGGGAGGGAGGGGGGGGAGGGGGAACTGCCATGCAAGCAAACTTGCCTGGGTCTAAAGAAGCCTGCCTTTTGGTTTGTCTCCGCCTCCCCTCCGCCGCGCCCCTGGAACCAGTGCACTAGAGGTCCCTCCGGCGAAGGGCCACTCTAACGCGCAGCCCACACATCCTACCGCGGACGTAGCGGCCTCCTGGATGGGGTCAGGGTAGATGGGGTCGGAGGATCGCGTCACATCATCGACAAATCGGCAATGCGTCGGCAACGTCGTCGATGCATCGGCGACGTCGACATGGCAACAACCGGGCCCAGCATGAAGCCGCATGGCTAATGTACCGGCGATGCGGCGCGATCTGGGATTCCTAGCTTGAAGCATATCCCCATCCCTATGATTGGCGCCACCTGATGCCGCTGCCGATCTCGAGGATCCCGCCGTTCCTGAGGGCACATCGCCAAGATTCTCAGCGTCTTTGGCTTGCCGATCTTAGGGATAGGGATAGGTTCGAGGCTGCTTACCCAAACATGCGACGTCCTGAATGTTTCAGGACGGCGTCCCTGGAAGTCCCGACCCTTTCCCCGGGACCGGCTTTTTATCCTGATCCGTTTCTTGACGGCCCCGAGGCCCGGCGAGGGACCCCAGGGGCCGAAAACGACCAAAAACCTGCCGTCCTGACTTTCCCGCGACGCGCTCATGTCTGGGTGGGGGAGGCCTGCGCAGCACGTCCGCCCGGGGGCAGCGGACGGGCCCAGCCGGGCGCGGCGCCGGCGCACGGCGGGCGCCCCTCCCCGAGGGGTCCTCCCCGAGGAGCCCGCCCACGAGGCAGCCCGCCTCCCGGAGGTTGCGGACGAAGAAGTTCAGGTAGGGTCCGCCACCGCGGCTGCAGCGGGTGTGGAGGGCAACCCATAATAACCGCCCCGACACGCGACGCGGTTTACGAAACGCCCCCACTGGAGGAATCGAGCAGGGCAGGGCTGTTTCAAAAACGCCCGAGGCCGTTCAATAAACGCCGATTGTCCGGCGGTCCGGGTGGTTGTTCCTTCCTTGAGGTTGGCGTGCGTCGGGCCCTGTCGCCTTTGTCAACGCAGTCCCAGACAGGATCGCGCCGTACAGAAAGAAAACCAGGACGGAGTTGGTTGTGTTGCTGTTCTCGGCCCCGGGGGGTCTTCGCCGGGCCCCATGGGGCCGTGAAACAAAGACTCAGGACGAGAAGCCGGCCCCGGGGAACGGGTCGGGACTTCCAGGGGCGCCGTCCCGAAAAAAAGTCAGGGCGTCGCAGGACTGGACTCGCAAGGGCCACCCGACGCAGCGAGCCCCAGATGCGCTCCTCTTGCGGAGCAAGCAGACCAGGGGAACGAACAATGACATAAACATGATAACTCGGGGGTCCGCGCGGACTTCTCGGATCGGCGCTGGGGACCCCTGGCGGCAGCGGCGTTTGTGGAGCAAGCAGAATAGGGGAACGAACAATGACATAAACATCTCGGATCGGCGCTGGGGCCCCCTGGCGGCGCCTCCAGCGCCGCCCCTGGCGTGCTCCGCGCGCCAGGGAGGGGGGGTCAGCGCGGATCCAAGAAATCTGCGCGGAACTCCGAGTTTTTATGTTCATGTCATGTTTCGTTCCCCATGCAAGAGGGCACCCCGACACATCGAGGCCAAGATGCGCTCCTTGTTGTGACCAAGCCCCTGCGCTGCTTGCCCTCCAGGCAGAAAACGGTCCCCAATACAAAGCCTGTGAAGGGAAGTTCGGTGGCCCCTCCCCCCCCCCAAAAAGTGAGACGGTAGATCGTCTCTCCTGAAAGTGCCTGGACTCCGTCGATAGTTGCCATCGCCGGCATTAGAGATGTGAAAAACAGAGGTAATGAGCCCAACGCTTTTTGCAACAAGATCATACTAAGCTGGCGTTGGCAAAACAACAGCGAGGACCACTGCAACAACAAGTGGACTAGTTGTGCCGCGTCTGCGGCGGCGTGGGCAATGTGTGGTGCGAAGGCTGCAGGAAGCTGACGCATGCGGAGTGCAGTTCGCTTCATGGTGGGTACTATGTGATGTGCAATGCTTGCGCAGTGGACTGGTACAACATGACCGGCCAATGGCTGACGCCGAACGACCAGGAGGTCTTGCGAGGAAGGGCTCAAGAGCGTCTTCGGCAGATACATGGAGTTGCCCTCAGAGCTGGCGTCCTCACGGCGGCGCCTGAACAAGCGGCCCGGATGATGCTCGGAAGCGCCGCGGCTAGGGCGGCGAGGTCGGCGACAGCGTTGGCTGGCGGCATCTCGCAAGGAGACCGGGCGGTGTGGCAGTCGGGCCGACAACGCCCGGCAGCACCGTTAAGGACAGAAGGGATGCCTGCTCCGAACGCTGAACAGTACCAAGAATGTGACAGTGCAGGCGCTGTTCACCATGGTTGCGGTCTGACGTTGGAGACTGAGAACGAAGACCTCAATAGAAGATTGGCGGAGATGCAGGAGGAGCTCATCCGTGCCCAGGCGCAGGTGGCGTCCACCTACGGGCTCGCGCAGGACACTGCAGATGATCAGGGTGGAGAGGCTGCGGATGGATATGCTGGACAGGAGGAGGCTGCAGCAGAGCCAGGACTCGATCTCGAAGAAGCCCCGTTTCCAGATCATAGCAGCTGTGACCAGGGGCGTGAGGGCAGGCTCCGAGAAGAATCTGAGCTGATAGACGAGGGGCCTCAGTTGGAGCCGAAGGGAAAGGGTACATGGGGTATGTCACTGCAGGGTACGAGTAAGGATGAGGTCATCAAAATGATCATGGCGGGCGACCAACAAAAACCTACCCATTTCGGTCAGAAGAGTGTCGTCTTCGGCGGCGGCGCAAATTCAGCAGCCCATGCGTGTGCCGCCTCCGCCGACGCATTTTTTCGGGCAGAGCCCTTCGAGGGCGCCGCCACCGGCGTCGCACTTCATGGGCTCGGGCTTGGTGGAGAGGGGCATGGACGAGCTCACCGTGGATGGCCTGAGGAAGATGATGCTGCCGAAGCTCACGTTCACGAAGCAGAAGAACCGTGCGCAGATGTTCAGGGATTGGCAGCGGCAGGTCACCGTCGAGCTGGACAGCGTGGGCTCCGTGGTTAGCGAGTCCTGGGCTGCCACGGTGGACCTCGTGGAGCAAACACACGCGCAGTACGTTCTGCCGGGGGTCGCAGAGAGGACTTCCTTCAGGATCAAAACGCACGCTAGGGAGGATCTGAAGCAGTCGGGCCTGAAAATGACGCCCCTTCTTATTGCAGCTGTACCAACATATTCGCAGGAGCAGCTGCTTGCAAAAGGGACTCCCACGACCGCGCAGATATGATTTGAGGATTGTATCGAAAGCGATCCAGGCGGCGTGGACGACAAGCAAATCACTATCAACAGCTCGCAGTATCCGAGAGTGGCTACATCGGCGGACGACGCATTGCGCTTGCTGCACCAGTGGAGGCAATCGTGGTCGAGAGCGGACGAGCTCCACACTGCACGGCCCGATTTCACTTTACTGTACCATGGGTTGAGGCAGATGGTGGGCCGATTGGAGAAGCAGTACCCCGAGTTTTGCTTTCGTTTGGCGACTTTCGTGAATACCAACAGCATGTCGCATTCTATCAACGTGGGCAAGGTCCTTGCCTTCTGGGAGTGGTTGTTCGGCGAGTGTCGCGAGTTAGTTAATGGGGCTGCAAGTTTCCGGGTGCCTTGAGAAGGGGGCTGCTAGCACTTGCTGTGTGCGTCGGCAAGGGAAAAACAATGATAATGAAGGGGCAAGACGAGCGACGGCGCCGGACACGCCAAGACGGCTTGCAACTTCTTCATGACGGCTAGGGGTCGCAAGCGAAGACAGTCTTGCCCGTTCAGGCACGCGGAAAGGGGGTGATTCCGGTCGGTGCTTCACGTGCGGATCCACGGAGCACCAATCGAAGGATTGCCACGCCCCGAAGAAACGGAGGAAGGACCAGATCGCGTCGGACGCGAACAAACCCTCTGGGAGCCAGCATCCAGCGTCATCGCCACAAGTACCTTGGAAGGAAGGGCGTCTGCGGCCACTGCCACCGGCTTCACAGGCAGCTGACAGCGCGCTCTCTACAGCGTTTCCATCGGACTCCGCGTCGGCCATCGACCTGGACGAGAGGATTCGCGCCGCTGTGGCCAGGGTGCTGAGGGACGGCGACTTCGAGGTCAACGCTCGCGTGGAACAATCATTTCGACGGCTTCTAGAGCACAGACAAAAACGGATTTCATCTTGCTCGATCAAAGACGCTGCAGCTGGGAACATCGGTGGAGGGTTTACTTCCACTGACATTTCAACTGGCAATTGGTTCGTGCCTCGGCTGGCGGCCAGACTGTTTGGGTCGAGAACATCGAAGGTTGCGCCGAGGTGAAGCCGATCATACCACTGGGAAGATACATCAAGAAATACACTTTGGAGATGAAGTGCAACATGGAAGGGGTGGTTTTGAGAAAAGCCTTGGTACTAATGGGGCCTTCGAAATCGTCCTGACAGGAGGACTGCTTTACGTGACCAGGCGCACGTATGACCAGATCCAAAAGATGTGCGAGGTCCAGGCTCGCGCGGCGAGTCTGGCGGAGCACCGTCACAATGGGCATGTACCTTACCACCCGAACTCCCCGGACTGCGTGCAGAGCGTGGGTCGCAGACAGGCGCACTATCGAGTTGATCAAGTGGCACGGTAATGAGGAATTCTGGCAGAGTTGGGCACGTCGTGCAATGTGCTGGAGGTTACGTAGTTTTTGAGGGGAAGTGTTTCGACCGCGGCGCGAGGCGACGGTTGAGCGCGACCTGAGGCTGACGGAAGGCAGCCAGAGCGACGTCGAGCGTAAGGAGGTGCTCGACCAGAAGCACAGCAAGGCGGAGGTGTACGTAAAACTGCTGCGCACGAAGGGTGCGTCGGAGACGCTGGTGAAGCTTCAACAGATCTCGGCGCAAGTGAATGCCACGCACGAGGCGAAAAGAAGGCTCTAAAGTTACACTATGATCGCGGAGGTGAGTTCGTGAACGCGCAGCTGGAGAAGTCGGCTGCCGAGAATGAGTTCCATCCCACCACTACTGACTTTTTCCAACGTGACAATCAGCCAAGGAAAGATTGCATGACTGATGCGAACCCAAAAAAGTGTTGATCAACCGGGCCAAATCTCCAACGCGAATAAGCATGGCAACGGCAAGATGCGTATGTCACTGACTACCTCTTGGAGGCGGTGTGGACATGAATTCGGCTATGCAGAGATGATGGTTCCGAGAGGCGGCTTGCGAAAGGTTCGATGCACCAATCGAATCGGATGTAGACAAGTTGCATGCTTATGTTAAGATACAGCGGTGCTGGCCCACGCTGGCGGCGTGGGCTAAAGAAGTGAGGGAGAACGCACGGGAACCAAGCCCGCTCCATGGTACACCGCGAAAACGATGTCTGAAGAGTGGGCGGGGGGGGGTCGGAGAACCCGGGGGGGCCCAGGAACGCGCCCAGGAGGAAGGAAGGGAGCGAGGGGAGGGGAGGGGAGACCACGAACAACATGCCGCTCAGGCGTCAACCTGCCGACCTGGAGTGTCTGAACGGAGCCCAGTTCACGCTCGCGTGACGTCCTGTCAGGTCTGGCGGCACGTTGGCTTCCTATCAAAGACTAAGGTGCACACCGAGTCCGCATCTAAACTGAACTTACGGTACAAATGGTCAATTCGCACCTCGATGACGGACTGGCGACTTCGCAACCGCTCAAATGCGGCCAGCGTGCGCCCGTAAGCTGGCCTCAGCACGGTCGACGTGCAATTCCGACTGTAGCTGAGCTGACGGGCCACCAGTAGAGAACCCAGCAAGAAGCGGATCCGCGGAGCAGGGCCTATCAAGGCATGCTCGACGGAGAGCTGCACGCCTGCATGCGCCGCCTCGCTGTCGGTGGAGCCCCCAGCTGGCCGCACGTCTGCCGCATGTCTTAAGAGCGGACGCTGCCGCACGGTGCGCGGCGCGGCCCCTGCGGCGCCTTGACGGCGGGCGGCCCCGTCGGAGGCATGCACCGCCCACTGCGCGCCAACTTCGCTCTCGCCCCGCGCCTCTCTGACCGCGTGAGCTCACGACGGCTACCAAGCAACCATGGAGGCGCCGCACGGGGCGAAGCATGTCATCTTGAGAGAAAAAATGGTGGCCCTGCAAGAGTAATCGACGCAGCCGTGCTGTTGCACTCGTGGACGCCAACACCTGCTGGATTCCCCAGCCGCCCCCGAATTTTGCCTGGAACCAAATCTGCAGAACTGTCAACCGAGCATTCTCGGGAGACAGGTTGTTGCGCAGGGATGGCGCGACAGCGCATGTGCCACGATGCGCAACGCTATCGTTAACAGGCGAATGGCAGAAACAAAATGGTAACACGTCCCTGCCTGACACGGGTGCCATGCGGTGCGTTGTCATGAAGGGGCCCTGGGACACACACATAAGTACACACATAACAGGATTCCCCATATGTTCCATTTTTTTTGATTTCTGTCTTCCCCCCACTTCCCATATTTCCCAATATTCTCCTGGGAGTCGACGATTAATTGTGCCTGTGTGTTTCTTTCCCGCCTGGTGTTACCTCGCCATGTAATATCCATCGCATGAGCGGCATCTGATGCTCGCCCAGCACAGTGGAGGGCATGCAGGACAAGGCGAGCTGCACCGGCTGCCACCGCACCCCTCGTGCAGCCAGCCAGGCCTCGACTTACTGCCGGGCAATGCGTTCTTTTGCTGCGCGCATCCTCTGGTACAACAGACGGTAAACACATCCCACCACGAATGAAGGCGGTGATGCAGTGGGAGACGTATTGGCCGAGAGGTTCGCAGGTCTCATCAAGCAAACGGCGCGGGTGGTGCTCGTGGCGAGCAGTTTATATTGTTGGCAGTTCGCGGTGAAGTACGCGGCGCTCGTGAGGAGACGGGCAACTCAAGGGAAGCCGATCTCCACGAAGGTGGTGTTCGGCGCGCAGGTGCACGCGCGCCTGAAGGAGCCCTAGAGAGACGACGTCAAGCCTCGCGATGTCGAGGAGGTCTTCTTGGGCTTCGACGACGGCATTCGCGAGGCCGCCTGTTTTGCACGACACCGGCTACGTGGATACGAATTCAGTCGTCAGGGAGGAGGCTGGGCGACGTCGTGAGGAAGAGCTGCGCGAGAAGTATCATCAGGCCAGAGGACCTTGTCCTGAACCAGGAGGTGCCCGTGCCCGAAATTCAACCAGACTTCGACGTGGAAGAGCTTCTATGGACTTGCTGGGCGTGCTTGGGTAAGCACCGAGCGCGCACGCGGAGGCCCGGCTGCAAGCTCGCTGAGGAGAAGCCAGTGGGCGAGGACAAACCGAGTCATTTGGATCAAAAGGGGTCGGCTTCGGCAGAGGAGGTCGCGGCCTCGGGCACGGAGTTCAGGGCAATGGACGGCGTCGTCGGCCCGGCGAGAGGAGCGGCTGCTTCGGCGGAGCTGGACGAAGATGGGTCGGACGACGAGTTGCTGAAGCAGGTCAGGGACGACTTCAGGCAGGCCGGGCTGCAGACCGTCTCGCAGAAGTATGTACGTCAAGGGCACCAGCGGAAACGAGCGGGAAGAGTGGATGCAGGCCCTACAGATCGATGCGGATTCTCTTCGAGACGGAGTTTACGATACAGCTATATACGGACGAGGAGAAGAAAAGAGGAGCGGAGTGCTGCAAGTGACGAGCAAGATTGCCTGGGCGACGAAGCCAGTGGACAGCAACGCGGAGTTCCGTCGTCGGAAGGTTCGCATAGTGGTTTGCGGTAACTTCGCGAACCACCAGGGCCTGGACCTCGCAAGCGGACGGACGCTACGAGCTTCAGGGCGATCCTGCGGTTGGCGGCTGGGATGGGCTGGACGATCGCGCTTCTGAACGTGAAAACTCATCAATCGGCGCTCCTCAACGCGCCGACTGATGAGGATGTCGTTGTGCTAGTCCAGCCGCCGGCCTTCCTGGTTGCTGCTGGGCATGTCACGAAGGACGAGGTGTGGAAGCTTCGGCGGGCCATGTCGGGCTCAGGACCCGGCCGAAGATGTGGCAGAATGAGCGTCACAGGAAAGTGAAGGCCCTCAAGCTTCCCGATGGCTCAGACCTGCAATGCATGAACGTAGACGAGTCTGTGTGGCGCATCAAGAATGCGAGTGGCAAGCTGCTAGGGGTCATCGCCACGTACGTGGATGACCTCCTGGTCGTGGGCCCCACCGACGTCGTCAATGACCGAGTCGAGGTGCTGGAGGGAGTCTGAGATACATCTCAGCGTCACAGGAAAGTGAAGGCCCTCAAGCTTCCCGATGGCTCAGACCTGCAATGCATGAACGTAGACGAGTCTGTGTGGCGCATCAAGAATGCGAGTGGCAAGCTGCTAGGGGTCATCGCCACGTACGTGGATGACCTCCTGGTCGTGGGCCCCACCGACGTCGTCAATGACCGAGTCGAGGTGCTGGAGGGAGTCTGAGATACATCTCTGCCGGAGTTCATCCTGTTGGAGGGCGTCGGCGCGCGCATCAGGTTCTGCGGGGCCGTCGTGGTTGGGGTCGAGAGGGGGAGGGCATCAATGTCGACCAGACCGAGCAAACCTCCGACGTGCTACGGAGGCGGGGACTGAGCATGTTCTGAGGGTGGAGGGCTCAGGGTGGAATCCATGTGGGCTTTTGCACCTCGACAATCAATCCGCCTTGTGGTTCACCTTTTGCAGATTCAAGCCTCGAAAATCCATCGAAACGGCATTTCAGATTTCACCCTTTGCCCTCCACCCAGAGAAAATGCTCGGGGGGGACATGGGAGGAAAAACCGACCCTCTTCAAATCAAAAGGGGTCGGCTTCGGCGTTGGCCATGGCAGCAGCTCCGACGCCCCGGGGATGTCTCAGCGGACGACGAGGCCGAGGCGCGGGAGGCCCCGGTGGGTGGGCCTGCGGCGAGGACGAGACCCCGAGACGACGGGGGGCACGGAGGAGCTGGCCGACGTCAGGAGTGCTCAGGCTGTCGCGCTGGGGCGCTCAGCTGGCTTTCGGTCCGGACGAGGCCCGACATCGCGCGCGCGGTTTCGAGGACGTCCTCGTTCACCACGCACCCCAAGGAGACGCACAGGCTGGCGAAGAAGGCGTTACGGTACCTGGTGCACTGCGGCGGCGAGGGTATCTTCGTGGGAAGGTTCCAGGACGAGGCTGACGTCACTGTCTACACGGACGCCAGCGTCGCGCCGACTGGCCACAAGTGTCGCGGAGGGCGTCAAAGCAGCAGATGATTGCCCTGAGCACGGCGGAGGCGGAGCTTCAAGCGATGACAGCAGGGATGCAGATGGCGTTGGTGTTCCAAGACTACTTGCAGAAGTTCGGCATAAAGTCGAAACTCGAGATCTGCCCAGACAATCAGGCGAGCTCGTGGCGGTCGTGCCATTACATTTCGGTCGGGCATGTCCTCCTACAGGCGGATTTTGGAGAACAAACGAAAAATTGTCGAATGAATTCGCCGGCCCAACGGGCCAGAGGCGTGCTCAGATCTCCGGTAACTGCTAAATAATACTTCTACTTCGCGCGCGCGGGGCGGCCCCTGAGGGTCCCCGGACGAAAAGTACCCCGGGCGATCCCCGGCGGGGTCGGGTCAGAGATGGTTTTCCTCCTGGGCGCCGCCCCCGTGGCCCTCCAGAGAGCCCCAAGAAGGGCCACGAGGCCGCCAAGAGCCCTCCAAGATGGTTCAAGAGTGCTCCGAGATGCCACACGATCGTTCCAAGACGCCCAAGATGGCCCCCAGACGCCCCAAGAGGCCTCCAAGAGCACCCCCCAGAGGGCCCCCAGAGGCAAAATTCATTACTTTTCCTAAGGTTTTGGGCAGATTTTGGCGTGTCCATCTTTTCGGCTTCCCGACGCCCCAAGACGGCCCAAGAGGCCCCCAAGATCGCCCCAAGAGGGCCCAAGAAGCTCCCAAGAAGGCCCCAAGATGGCCCAAGAGGGATCCAAGACGGCCCCAGAGGCATCCAAGACGGCCCAAGAGGGGCCCAAGAGGGCCCCAAGCGATGCCCCAAAGGGGGAACACAAAACAAAACTTCGAGCCCTCGGCCTTAAGAAGCCCCCAGGAGGCCTCAAGAGGCCCCTGAGAGGCCCCAAAAGCCCCCAAGAGGCCCTCAGGAGGCCCCCAAGCGACGCTGAAGAGGCCCCCCAGCGGCCCCAAGAGGCTCAGTCATGCGAAATGGGCCGGCGGAATGAGCGAAGCGATTCAATAACCGACAATAATCAAAATAGTCAAAGGACCGTCCCCTGAATAATCCCACCAGCCCTTTGGGCGTGAGTGGTTTAGGGAGCTTTCTCTGTTCTCAACCCCCCAACCCCCCTTCTTCCCCTTCGGGGAGGGGTTTACCCCTCCCCCTACCCCCTCCCCCTGGACCTGGAGAGGGCGCCCCGCGGGTGGTCAGGGGGGTCCGTTTCGACGCCTGGGAGGGCCAAAAAACGACGACCCTCACGAGGATTCTGGCCCCGACGGGGGGATAGAGAAAAAACCCTCTCCTCTTCTGTGAAGCCAAAATCATTGATTTTACTACGGTTTTGGCCCCATTTTGGCCTCCTCAGGGGGCAGCGCTCCTCGTCCTTGTTCTCAGAATCATTGATTTTACGCAGGTTTTGGGCTCATTTTGTCTTTCTCAGGGGGTAGCGCTCCTTTGCGCTTCTGGGGAGGGCGCAAGAGGCCCCCAAGAGGCCCCAAGATGCCCCCAGGAGGCTCCCAAGAGGCCTCCAAGAGGCCCCCAAGAGGCCCCCAAGAGGCCCCCAGAGGCTCCCCACGAGGCCCCCAGAGCCCCCAAGAGGCTCCCAAGAGGCCGCCAAGAGCTCCCCAAGAGGCCCCGAAGAGGCCCCAAGAGGCCCCCAAGAGGCCCCCAAGAGGCCCCACGAGGAGCCCGAACGACTCACACCAGGACGAGGGGCCCGAACGACTCACACCACGAAGAGCCCGAACGACTCACACCACAAGGAGGGGCCCGAACGACTCATACCAGGACGAGGCGCCCGACCGACTCACACCACGAGGAGCCCGAACGACTCACACCACGACGCGGGCCCCGAACGACTCACACCACGAGGAGCCCGAACGAGTCACACCAGGAGGAGGGGCCCGAACGACTCACACCAGGATGAGGGGCCCGAACAACTCACACCACGAGAAGCCCGAACGACTCACACCAGGACGAAGAGCCCGAACGACTCACACCACGAAGAGCCCGAACGACTCACACCAGGAAGAAGGGCCCGAACGACTCACACCAGGACGAGAAACCCCAAACGACTCAAATCACGAGGAGCGCTTTCTCTCCCTCCTCCTACGCCTCGTCCTTCTCCCGCTCCCCCCACAAGGAGGATTCACAAGGAGGCGGGAGGAAGGAGGGACAGGGGAGATATACGGAGCCCAGCGGACACACGCCTGAAAAACACAGCTGTCGACATGCTTCGCGAGAGCTGCTGCTGTGAGATGGGCTGGTGGGGATACGCGAAGCGTAAAGAATTTTTGACTACTCTTGAATGTTCCTCCTGTAGAGGGACACGCCCGACTTAACATTGCATGGTCAAGACTGTGGGCTTGATCTCGCTTCATGCTGCGCGTTCCTTTCGGCAGAAAGCGGACGTGCTGACAAAGTGCCTTCCAGGGCCCGCCACGAAGAAGATTCGACTCATGTGGGGTATGGCAAACGTCAGTTAACTAGACATGTGGCGCGAAGGTTCGAACCGAGCGCTGGTGGCGCTGCAGGTGCAAAGCCGCCTGCGGCCGCCGTCGGAACCGATCCAAGTGGATCACACTGGGTCGTAGTCGGCCCTCGTCACCAGCTTGGTGCCGCCAGTGTGGCACGTGCCCTGGATGCTCCAGAGTTGGGCGTTCGCCCATGGCGTGTATCACACCGCACGCCAGATACGTGCAATGAATGTTTTGTTTTCCGGCAGGGCCTGGAGGTGGGGACATGATCGGGGAGACGTAAGACTCGGGTACGGGGGACTCGGGTTGGCCCGACGGGGCCATCATAAAAATGACGAGGCCCAATCTGAAATTTGACGCGAGCTCCCGCTGCAGACATCCCACGAAAACTGAACCGTCAAAATCCAGGACGCGCTCGTCAAAAAAACGTCGGCAAACCCGAGTTCCGGCTTACTCGGGTCTTGCGTTTCCCCGACATGAGCCGCCAGTGCATCTTGTGGACGGACGTGAGCCCTGGCAAGGAGTGTGAGACGGTAAATCGTCTCTCCTGAGGGTGCCTGGCCTCCGTCCGTGGTCATGCAGGACCACCAACAGAAACGCTCGAGCCCGAACACAAGAGAACGCAGATCCATCTATCTCGCACTACTCGCTACACCTCAACCTTTCCTTCGCTGCCATCGCCGGCATTCGAGAGATGAGCCTCGGACAAAAGCTCCCAAGCCCCCCCCCGCTCGCCCGCCCGAGCGCGGTCGCGGAATCGCGCGGCAGCGCAGCTGGATATTCCGCCTTGGGTGCGGCCGTGGACCACCTTCAGCCGCACGGTCCCAAAAACCATCCACTTGGTGCCCGTGTGGGCTGCTCCGCTGCCCGCCGTGTAGTACAGTCCCCGACCCTCGGCCTGCCCGAGCGCGTGGACCTTGGCCTCCACCCACTTCCCCGTGATGTTGACGCTCATGAAGTAGGTGTCCGCGCAAGCGCCACCGACCTGCTGGGCGTCGGCGTCCACACGAAGTAGCACGTTTGACAGCCGCGCCTTCATGGGTATGTGAAGGAGGGCGTGCACACCTGGCTGCATCAAATCGAAGCGCTGTCCCTGCACGTTGACCATGTGTGGGTCGCCTACTGCGCTCGACTGCACTGGCGCCATAGACCCAGCAGCAGATGTTGCTACCGGCGCCACTGGTGTGGTAGGTGCAGGTGTAGGTGCAAGTGTAGGTGCAAGTGTAGGCGCGGGTGTGGGCAGAGGTGTTGTTGCCACAACTATGGAGCCCGCTGGAAACGCGAAGGTCAATGGCGAGTCCAACACGATAGATCCAAAGCTCACGATCGCGTGGACTTCTGAGTGCCCGCCGCCAGAGATTAGGATGGATTGCCCTATTGCGAAAACGGACTCGGTCGACACTACCACCCGTTCCGCTCCGGGAGATGCTGGAAGCACCAGCACGACTCCCGCTGATGTCGTAAACGGCGTCATCCCAGAAGCTGATGACGTGGCCATGGGTCCTGGCACCACCCAACCAAAACAACAGCGTCAAAAGAGTCAGTATGCCTTGACAGTTCGCCATGCAACACATGTTACGACACAAACAACACAACTCAAACTCACAAGGCCCTGGGCCAGGAAGGGGGGGTACCGAGGCGTTAGAGCGTCCAAGATGGCCCAAGATTGCTCCAAGAGGGCTTCGAAGTCGCAAGATGGCCTCCAAGATGGCCCATGCTACTTCAAGATGGGTCAAGATAGCCTCCGACATGCCCCAAAGAGGCCCCAAGGCAGCCCCAAGACGGATTCAAGTGCCCTTCGAGCCCTCCACGGCGCCCTCCAAGATGCCAAAACCGTTCAAAGACCTATGGGAAATCCATGTTTTCGGCATTATCGCCGTTTCGCTTCCGATGGGCTTTGGAAGCCTCACGATGGCCCCAAGATGGCCCAAAAGAGGCCCAAGAGGGGCCCAAGAAGGCCGAAGACGGCCCCAAGATCGCCCAAGAGGCGCCCAAGAGCGCTCCAAGAGGGCCCCAAGATGCCGGTTGAGAGCCTCCGAGGGGGGCCCGAATTTCTCCCCCCCCCCCCCCCCTTTTTGAGCCATGGTGCCCAAGACGGCCCCAAGAGGCCTCCCAGACCCCCCAAAGCCCCAAGAGGGCTCCAAGACCTTTTCTTTTTGAGCCATGGGGCGATCCCAAGAGGCCTCCCAGCCTCTCCCCAAAGACCCTCCACCCCGCCCTGTTTGGCCCAATATGACTCCAAGAGAGCCCTAGATAGGCAGATCAGGTTTTCAAAATGGCCTAAGATAGCCAAGCATGGCTCAAGATAGCCTCCGACAGACCTCCAAGAGGCCTCAAGGCAGCCTCAAGATGGTCCAACATAGCCGAGCATGGCTCAAGATAGCCTCCGACAGCCTCTAGCCGAGCACGGCTCAAGATAGCCTCCAAGAGGCCTCAAGAAAACTGGCAATCGATTATGGATGGGCTGGTGGTCAAGAATTGATCAAGCACCTCTACCGCAGTTAATCTGACAAATGACAAATGTCAAATGTCCGATGGGAAGACACAAAAAACAACTTTCAGGACACACGTAAAAAACCTCCAACATCTGAGCATCATCGAGAAGACACAGACCCGGGAACCGACCAGGCAGCAAAACTCTCCTTCGTTCGGACGTCCATTCCCCGTGAATTAGCAAATTTCGTAAGTGAACTGTTCCGCAAGATGAGCCAAAATGCTCCTCGATGGTCCTCGCCGAGGAAAAAAAACGTGCGAACGATGCCAAGAGCAGAGAGTCGGCACGGATATCCTGCGCCTGCAACTGCAGGTCCAGTTGGCGGCGGACTGGTTGGCGCCACTGTCGGTGAGGGCGTGGGAGCGCTTGTTGGTGCAGATGTCGGTGCAGCTGTAGGCGTAGCTGTGGGTGCAGAGGTCGGCTCGTCGGTCGGCGCGGCGGTCGGAGACGATGTCGGTGCAGCTGTCGGCGCACCCGTCGGCGTCTCTGTCGGGGCAGCCGTGGGCGCGCCCGTGGGCGCACCCGTCGGCGTCTCTGTCGGGGCAGGCGTGGGCTTGCTCGTCGGTGCGGCTGTCGGCCTGGCTGTCGGCGCAGCTGTCGGGGCGGCCGTCGGTGCGGCCGTCGGCGCGGCCGTCGGGAAAGCTGTCGGTGCGGCCGTCGGGGCGACCGTCGGGAAGGCCGTCGGCGCCGCGGTGGGAGCTGCCGTGGGTGCCCTCGTGATGCAGGTCCGGCTGCCCTCACGGGCAAAGAACGTGGACGTCCCGGCCATGGCGAAGTTGCGGCCCCACTGCTGGATGTACCTCGCGGAAGGTCCCCGGGACCTCCGGAGGTCTCCGGCAGTCCCACTTCCAAAGTTCCCCGCTGGCCTCCGCAGGGCCCCCGGCCGAGAGAAACATCAGCGCCCCAGAGCCTCGATCCTCGATCCTCCCAGTCCTCGCCCTCGTCGATTGACTACCTACCAGACCACCCCAACCCAACCCGAACACCCGAATTTGACCTGAATTTCGGGTTGGGGGGGTACGGTCTCCACGTGTTTTGTTCAGTGTTCCCCGACCCCCCCCCCCCAACTGGAAATGGAGGGCAAATTGAGGCCTTCGGGTTGGGGTTGGGGTGGTTTGGTGAGCGGAGATCGATGGAACCCAGGCGGCTGCCAGGCGCTCCTGGGCACTCTCGAGCGCTCCCTGGGGCTTCCGAGGCGCTCCCAGGCACTCCCCCAGGCGCTCCTTGGGCGCTCCCAGGCGCCCCCCAAGTGCTCCCCGGCCGTGTTCGGCGGCCTGCTCCGGAGGTCACCAGAGGCCTCTGGGGACCTCGCCTGCAAAGGGCCACGAAGCTTCCAAGAACGTTGATCCTCGATCCATCGTCCTTCGGTACTCCTCGGGCTTGTCCGTCAGGATCTTGAACCCGACGCTGAACTCGCTTGTGTCGGAGAACTCGGCCATGAAGCACCGCTTCGCCTCGTCTGCGTGCCGGGGCGGACTAAGAGGGGCGGGGGATCGCGAATGGGGGGGATAGTGAGACCCAGCTGCGCGCAGCCGAAAAATTCTGGCGCCTGCCACCGTCGGAGGCGGCCGTGCATCGAGGACAGAGTCTGGCGGCCAGAAGCGGGTGCGCGTTCAGCAGGTTTCGCAGGTTACCTTTCTTTCTTCCTCGCGTAACGGCGGTTACCCTGAAGTCGGGCCTGTCCCTCTACAGGAATATTCAAAAACAGTCACAAAATAGTATGGGGACGATTCTTCAGTGTTCTCTGACTATTTGTGAATATTGTTCGACTTTTTTCCTTATGTTTTTCAATCAAAATCCGCCTGAAGGGGGACATGCCCGACCAAAGGTTCCCCAGGGGGGGGGGTCGGGCGGGAGGGTCACGGCAACGGCGGCCGCGGCGCGCACCCGCCAAAAGATGCGTCTGCGCCACTGGCGCATCCAGTCGCCCGTGTGCACCACGTAGCATATGTGCGGGGGGGAGGTCCGGGCCACCACCCCCGGTAGGATCGCTAGCGTTGCCCAAGGGCCCTGACCTTCCAGGAGGGGAAAAATAGCACCAGGACCTCGACACCTAAATTCCTGTCGACGTTTTAAGCAGTCCAGATAGGTCTATCGGTCTGGAGGGCTATTTGTAACGCTCTGGAAGGTAAGGGGGGAGGGGGGGGGGTCCGGGGCAACGGGCGTTACGCTGGGGAGGGAACAAACCCAAAAAACACGCTCGCCAACATTATCAGTTTGAAACATATCCCTGTCCCTGTGTTTGGCATCGCCTCACCTCGATGCCGACCTTACGGATTCCCTCAGTTTCTGAGGGCACATCCCTAAGATTGTCCTCGCTTGTGGCTCGCCCATTCTCAAGGGTAGGGAAAACTTCGAGGCTGGTTACAACAGCCCCTCTCCCCGCTCTCGTCCTCCTCCGACCAAGTGCCGCTATCGCCGCCGCCGCCGCCGTCTCCGGGCCGCCGCCCGCCACCGAGGCTCGCCTGGTCCACGGTCTCGGCCGTCTCATCGGGGCACGTGATGTTGATCAGGTGGTTCTGGTCCTCGGGAAGAGAGGACACGATTGCAGGAGAGAGCCCAGAATCGAATCGACAAGTCGGACCGGCGATCGACAGGAATCGGATCGGCGGAAGGATCGGCAGCCGAGTCGGCAGAAATCGGCAGGCTAGTGTGCCTCCAAGACGAACTCGGACCCCCAAATCGGAATCCCAGGTCGAATCGAGTCGGAATCGGAAGCAATCGAAATCGAATCGAAAATCGAATCGGGGGAATCGAAACGGGCCCCGTGACTGCCGACGTCGACCGCCCTCCCTCGGGGCCCACGGAGGAGGCCCCCGAAGGAGGCTCCAGCCCCGAAGCGCCCCAGGGGGCCTCCAAGGAGAGGCCCCAGAGCGGCCCCCTCCAAGGGGCTCCCAGAAGGCCCCACGACAAAGATCCTGAGATGGCTCCGGTGAGGGCATTGGCTAAGGAACCGGTGGAGAAGGAATCCAGGCTCTGGGAGCCCGTGTGGAACTCCAACTGTGGACTGGCCACAGATGCCACAGCCCCCCTCATCAGATGAGGAATCCTCCAGGGTCTGCAGCTTCCTGGGCACATTCCTTAACCAACGTAACCACCGTATGATTTGCCACTTGTCTACCTCTGTGGTCTTGCCACGGGGGTGCACGTCGTGCCAAATTTCTGGGAGGTCCTGGTTCTCTTCTGAAGAAATCACCGTGGGAATCGGCCCAGCCCGCCCGCCACCCGAAAAGCCACCGAAAATTCCTGGGCCGTCTGTCTTCCCTCTTCAGACGGCAGTAAGATGGCCTCCAAGACGGCCAGGGTGGGCTCCAAGACGGCCAACATGCCCCCAAGAGATCCCGTGGTGGGTTCAAGATGTCTCTAAGATGGCCGAAGATGCATTCTAGATGGCCTCAGAGAGCACCGAAATGGCGCCCAAGAGGCGCCCAAGACGGCCCAAGACGACTCCAGGAGGCCCTCGAGGAAGTCCCGAAGAGGCCAAACGCATTGATCTTCCGAGGGCCCAGGACGGCCCAAGAGGCCCCCTGGATAGCCCCAAATTCGCCCACGCGACCTCTGAGATGGCCCCGGCTTTGCCATAAGGGTGCACAGCGTGCTGAATTTTGAATGGCTGTAGATCTTTGTTAGTTTTCCAAAGGAGGAGGAGGAGGAGGAGGAGGAGGAGGAGGAGGAGGAGGAGGCGGAGGGGCCGCGGCCCAACCCCCTTGCCACCCAGAAGACTGGGGCACAAACGAGAACTCGCCTCCAAGACGGTCGAGATGGCCTCGACGATGCCTCGAAGAGGGCAGAGAGAACCCCAGTAGTGCCCAAGATGACCCCAGTCTGCCTCCAAGACAACCCGAGGTGCACCCAAGACGGCCCAAGATGGCGAACCATGGCCAAAGGCGGTCCAAGTGGCCCCCAAGAGGGTTCAGAGACGGCTGGAGAGGTCTCCGAGAGAACCTCCTGGAAGGCCCCAGGATGCCAAAGTTTGTGGTTTCCCACAAGTGTTGAGAGGATGTGTGCAGTTGCTCCCTGTCGGCTTACCGACGGCCCAAGTCGGCCCAAGAGGCCACCAGGATGACCCCAAGAGCGCCCAGGAGGCCTCCAAGAACGCTCCAAGACGGCCCGGGAGGCCCCCGAGACGGCCCCAAGAGGGCCCAATGCGACCCAGGCGACCTCCAGGAACCCCGCAGGTGGCCTCCAGGAGGGAAAGAGTCGGCCCAGAGGAGGGGCCTCCAAGACGGCTTCCGACGGCGTCAGTCCGGTCAGGAACGCCCAAGACGAGCGGAAACAGCACCGCGCACGCCCCCGAGAGGCCCAGGGAGGCCTCCGCAGATGGCCTCCAAGAGGCCCCCGGGAGACGCCCTGCAGGCCCTGGAGGCACCAAGAGGTGCCTCAACAGCTCCCGAGCCCCCCCCCATCTTCCTCATCCTCTTCCTCCTCCTCCTCCTCCTCCACCTCCTCCTCCTCCTCCTCCCCCTCCTCCTCCCCCTCCTCCTCCTCCCCCTCCTCCTCCTCCTCCTCCTCCTCCGCCTCCTCCTCCTCCTCTGTTCTCCCTCTCGTTCTCTTCTTCCTCCTCCTCCAAGTGTTCCCCGACGGGTTGCTCCAACGGCCGGGGTGTAACAGAGTCCGACAGAATGGCCGAGCTCTGGCCACGACCTTCGGCCACATAGCTGCTTCCTGAAGGCAGGGGGCGGCGGTGCTTCGCCGTAGGCATCTTCGATACCGGCACAGGTGCCCTTCCCTCGAGTTCACATGCCTGGGCCTCCCCGGGGGCCTCGTCGCCACAACCGGATCCACTTCAAGATCCTGGCCAGAACGCATCACTGGAGAGGTCCGTGGGGCAGCGGCCTAAATACGCGATTGCTCCCTCGAGTCCGTTGGATTGTCGCAGCCGTGGCCGTACATCCGCGAGACGGTCTTAACTCCAAATTTGCCACCCGAGCTGGCTGAGTACCTCCTGGAGTTCCTGCCTGGAACCAGAGTCGGAATCGTTTCTGTGACGTAGGACAACGGAACTGGCGTATCGTTTACGACCGTGTCAAACTCATACAACTCCATATCGAAATCGATGTCACCGTCGACTGTGTAGACTGCGCTTACCCCGTCGAGGTACAATACCTCGTTCTCCCCATCCTTGTAATGGTCGATGTCACAAAACGTGATCTTTGGCAGGATCGGCTTCTCGGGGCAGAAAGTGTGGTTTCTCACGAACTCCCCTCTGAGAGTGGCGAATTCCCCAATAAGGAGATTCACAGTCGCCTGGGCCCCGCTTATCGTGTTCCATTGGGTGTTCCTGGGGACATACGCGCTCGTGTTGACAAAGACGATGTCGACGTTCACACCATTAGAAAGCTTGCCGACTCCATAGTATCTCAGCTCTTTGGGCTTATGGAATTCTGGACCAAGTCCAGCAAGATTTGAATGGGATGCCCTCCCGAAGCCATCCTCATTCGAATCCGCAAAGTGGATCCAATCCTCACACCCTTCAGGATTATCAAGTGTCTCGCTCTCTTTGCACTCTTCTGGACAGACGCAGCACATTGTTCTGGAGGTGAAATCGTCATCGTCATAATAAGGGTCCATGCAAATACCTGTATAGGGCTCATCAGGATCGTGCGAATATACTTCGCACGAGTGACCAAACCTGTTCGTGGCCCCATTGGCTGTATCTACACAGGTCGGCGTCGTGACTGGTTCTGACTGCGTGGCGACACGACGGCTGCGTCGCAAATCGGCGTAACGCTCCGCCCGCGTCATCGTTCGATTACTTCGCGAACGAAGGGCATGATGCTGCAGGCCACCTTGATCTTCGTGCGATACGTCCACTGAGGCCTGCAACAAAAACGAATCCAAGCATCCGACATGTTCACACGTATGTAATTGATGGTGTGTGCCCCTGGCCATGGCGCCAGCGTCACACAAGAAGTATAGGGTGAGTAGGGTGAGTGAGACCAAAGACATTGTCATCTGGCCTGGGCGTTCAGTATCTGGTCAAGCTGGCTCGACCATCAAGGTGCATGAGTGCCCGCAAGGATGTTGGGCAGAGGGACGGCTATGAAAAAGGAAGGCGAGGAGACTGCGCAGAGCTGCGAAGAGAAGGAAAAGGGGGGGGGATGAGGACGAGGCGGCGGAGGAAGACGACGACGAGGACAGCAATGACGACATCGGCCACGAGGCAGGAGGAGCAGCAGCAACAACAGGAGCAGAACAGTCGGAGTCCGAGCAGGAGGAGACGAGAAGTCATTCCGAGCAGGTTGGGGCATTCAGGGGGGCATTTGTCTCGTGCCTCGCCTCTGCGGCATGACCGGCCAAGAACAGCAGGAGCGATCTGCGCATGCTGGCTGGAGGGCCATGAAGGGCGGAAAGAAAAGCAGGGCGACGAGTCCCCAGAGTTAGGTCGAGCATGACCGCCTACAGGCGGCTTCTGGAACGAAGAATTTAACAGAAACAAGAAATGCTACAAAACGCTCGAAATCGTCCCCTGACTATTTTTTGACTATTTTTGAACATTCCCCCTCTAGAATGACAGGCCCGACTGAACCCCAGAGCCGATGGCACACACTGCCGCACAAATGCATGTCAGACAGCGCAAGAGGAGCCCCCCGACCGCTTTCCTTTGGGGGGGGCCTCGCCAGCCGACGCCTCTGCCTGGTTAGACCCTGAGGGCCCGCGTCCGGCAGGGCTGTCAGATGATCTCCATCCTGGCGGTGTGGTAGAACATGCTGATCCTCCGCGTGTCCCACAGCCGCCTCACCTGATAGGCCTGTTTTCCACCACCTCCACCACCAAAAATTGGAGGGGGAGGGGGTCCTCTTCCTCCTCCTCCTCCTCCACTTCCTCCTCCTCCTCCTCCTCCTCCTCGTCCTCCTCCTCCTTGCCCCTCCAACTTATGTTGGTGGTGGAAAACAAGCCCATCATCACCGTCCTCACCCAGACGCTGCGTGCGGCCAGCACGTCCCGGTCGCCCCGCGCGAACATGTTCGCGGCGCGGTTCCAGCCCATGCGGCCAAACTTCGGCTCGAAGAACGCGTTGATCCCGACACGGTGCACGTCGCGATTGACGACTCTGTGCTTTGCCCCGCTGGGGATGACGACGCCCTGGCCGGGCCCGAGCTCCAGGTGGAAAAAAGGCGCTCTTGGCGTCCCGAATGGCATGCTATTGGTGGCCCACTTGATCAGTCCGGCGTCCTCGTGGACTCATTGTTCCAGGGGAAGGAGGGGGTCAGAGGCAGCAGGACGACTGACTCGGCGATGCCCCCGTGGAAACACTGGGCCACCTCAAATGCCGCAAACACACCACACCCCACTTTTGCATTATTCGCGATAACGCACGTGACTTGCCCTGCCCCCTCTGGTCACGTCGCGGTTCGCGTTGGCGCCGTCTGGGCGTGAGCTATTCTTAAGCATTCCCAGACGGCGCCGGCGCGAATGGCGACGTGACCCCCATCCTTCCCCCTCGGTCACTTCAGTTACCGCCGGGGGAGAAAGACGGTCTCATTGAAGTGAGGCGTCCTCGTGGATCTTGGGGCACAGCAGGAAAGAGCAGTTCGGCGGGAACACGAGCACGTCGACCCGCCTGGTAGACTATGAAGGATAAGTTGGCAGCGAGTACAGCAGGGACCCGATCACAAAAACCTTCCACAAAAAAAAACAACCCCGAGATCCCAACAGTGTCCACTCGTTTTTGGTGCGGGAGAGTCACGCTCTCCATGGCAAAACCATCGAAGCCCAAAAAGCCCAGGGCACCCTGGAGGCAAGCAGGGTGTTTCTTGGCATGCGTGCGCGGCAAGCATGAGCACCGCGAAAACCTTGAGGAAATCCAGAAAACCTCGCGGCAAACATATTGCGCCGCGCCCTCGTCAACGCCATGCACGAGTGGAAGAATAGCGGGGCCCATCTCGAGCATAACGCATGAAAGATGAAAAACCCCGCGGCCTGCAAGACACCGCGCGCCGCCACTGGGCCAGCACAAAAATGACGAACGGCATGAGGTCTGAATGCTTAGACTGCAAATTTGATTCCCACCCGCCCCCTTAACAAGGAAGGAGCTGGAGCAGGGAAACCCACCCCGACCCCTCAAAGATGAAGGCGCCCAATGTTCATTGGAATGCGGGTACCGCTGCTAGCCAGCGTGAACACAACAGCAAGGTAAGGCGCAGAGGTATTACAACGCATGTGATGCAAGCTACGTGGCGCAAGCTAGATGGCGCAAGCTACGTGGTGCCATTCATTTCTGCCAACTGATGGTCCCACTGCTCGCGCGATCATGCCACCGTCGTGCCCGCAACTAGGTTTGCAAACCGCGCGCGGCGGCGATTGTGATGCGCGTTTCGTCGCGGCGCATCTCTGCGGCCGCGCTGGCGCGCGCGAGCCCGAGCGCAGAGCCGCCAGCTGGTTTGGCGCAGCCGACGCGGCCGCGATGGCACTCACCGATGGCAGCGCCTCAGCGCTTGTCAAAGGCACCGCCCGCGCGCGGGCATTACAATGCGGCTCGGTGTTTCGGGCGGGCGCGGTATCATGATGACCCCATCAGCAGCGGCAACGAAGATGATGATGCCCATGACGCCAGCGACCATGACAACGACGACTGCCAGGCCAATGACGTCGCAAATGCTAATCGCGCCGGCGACAAAAATGATGACGTTTACGTGTCGAACATGAGGAACATTGAGCGATGATGGCGGCAAACGCGATGCGGCGGCGCCACTTAGGGTCGCGATGAGGAAATGCGCGCGTGCGAGAACCCGAGAATTCCGGCAAACTTGCTGGAAAACATACGCAACCTCACGCATGTTGGAAGAACTGCATTCTGAAACGCATCGAGCACCAAGGGTGTACTCCCGTGGCGGCGTGAGCGCGTGGCCCACGCGGTGGTTTGTGATGCGGACTCGCGCGCTGGACTCAGGCTGGGCCAACGCGGATGCACCGCGCGGTTAGATCAGAGTGAAGGTCACGAACGAGATGCGCGAAGGATTCCTTCGCATCTCAGCAAATGCGCGCGGGCAAAACGATTGCAAGATCTGCGGTTGAAAACCGAATGGCGTTTGAAAACACCGGTGGGATCGTTGCCGAACCGGCGTGCTTGACCTGATTTCGACGTGTGCGCGCGCGGACGCTGTGGTATTGGGCGTGCAAGGGAAACCACAAGGGCATCGCTTGCGATGAACAAACGCACCTACTACTGTTTGACGAAAGTGGCGGGGGAGGGACGGCGATCGCTGGCGCGCCTGGCCCCGCATGGACCGTCGCGGGCAATCAACTGCCAGGAACAGGCGTGCGCAACTTGCAATGTCACAGGGGGCGTCGATACGTCCAGGGGTGTCTTCTTTTGAAGCAGCACTATGTATGCGATGAGAATTACGCGGCGCTGCGAATTCTTCCCAACCAATGACTCGTCGACCCCACCGCTCGCTCAAAAATCCCACCCTCACACCCGCAACGTCTTTCGCAAAACCTCTACGGCCGCGAATGCGGCGACTACTCGGCTGCGGCTGGCGCAACTCTGTGGCCGCGCTGGCGCGCGCAAGCTCCAGCGCAGAGAGGCCAGCTGGTTTGGCGCAGCCGACGCGGCCGCGATGGCGTTTATCGATGGCGACCCCCCTTTGGCGTCAAGAGCACCGCCGGCGCGCGGGCACCTCAGCGCGGGTCGGTGAGTCGCGCGAGCGCGGCTTCATGATGTCGCCGAGAAGGGCGGTGACAGTGGTGATAGTAGCAGCGGCGGGAGCGATTTTATTGGAGAGAAGCGCTAACGAGGATAACTCGTTGATCTCGGGAGAACAAGAGATTGCGAAGCCCGTCGCAGAGAGCACGTCTCTCGCGAGACCCCGCACGGGGGCGACGCTCGATGAGCGATGCGCAGGGAGGCGAGCAAGCCAGAGAGCGGGGGGATTATCCACGCAGACAAAATTCTGCTCACTCATCTGCAGCGAAAAAGGCCTCGTGAAAATCAAGGGGCTCAGGGGCGGGAGGCCGCTGCGTGTCACGCGCCGGTCTGGTCGCGCACATCGCGGCGGCGGAGCGCGAGGGGCAAGCCTCAGCGCTGCGCGCGCTGGGGAAGGAGACGAGGGCGAGGGTCTGGGCGGCACCTGGGTCGGAGTCGACATTGGGATCACCTCGCCACGCACTGACATTAGAAGCCGGTGTCCAGCGTCGCCAGCCAAGGCCCAGCGCCGTCCTCGAGCCGGTCGGCTGGGGCCAATCCGACATGATGGGCCACCTCGCCTTCGGATTTGAAGGCCCGCGCGATCAATACCCTGCCCTCCCACTCGGGAGCTCCAGGGACGGGCTTCATCTTCTCCGTGCCGCGGCAATTCACAAGCCGTGCGAAGCTGATCTTGTCGTCGTGGACGCCCTCGTCGGGCTGGCTGGTCGCGCGCGGGCGCTCGCCGATCTCGAATTCGCGCGGCCCTCCAGGGTCGCGAGGTCCAAGCTGGGCGCCGAGGAGCCGATGTTCTTCATCCTCGGTCTGTCCTCCGCCGAGCCGTGGCGCAGTGAGTACAATGTTGCTTTGTAGCCCTCCAGCTCGTTGCTCGCAATGTCGATGACGGGGTGGGTCTTCTCGTCCGTGTATGCGTCCGTCACGAGCGAGATGCTGAGCCTCGCCCTGTGCGCGGTCTGTAGCGCCAGCTTCAGCGTCGACTTCAAAAATGCAAACAAAATGTTTGTCCTTGCTGGACCACTGCTTAACGGAATGCCCCCCCCCCTCCGCCGCGTCCGTCGCCCGCCTCAGCGCTTCCCGCGTTGAGGATCTGCGCCTTCATCCTTGCCCGTGCCGTCGCCCATGTCGTGCGCGCCACCCTCCAGTTCGGCGGCGGTGGGACCGTCGGCCGCGGCTCGGCCACTGGAAGCTGAGCGGGTCCGGATCCTTCGCCAGGTGTCACCGAGCCTTGCGGCGAGTCCACTTGGAGGCGCCAAGGTGCTCGAGTGTTCGGGGGTGCCTTCTCGTCGCTACGGTTGCTGGCCGCTGGCTGTCGCGGGGGGGGGGGGGCTTTCTCGGGCATGAAGTACTCGCGGCAGACTAGGCGCAAATTTAAAAGATGTGGTCATTATTGGTTGGTTGGCCCAAGGTGCTGCCGGCGTCCGAGAAGCCCGTCGAGGTCGGAGCCCATGAGGCCGTAGAGGGTGAGCTGTCGCAGCGCCTCCTCCGCCCAGTGGCTTGTCAATTGATCGTCTTACCTGTTGGCGAACTTGCGCAGTGTCGCGCATTGGCCGAGGTTGCGTTGGGGCTGGAGGCTGCGGTGGCGCCGCGCAGCTCGAAGGTGCAGGTCGCGTGGTGACCTCACGCCTGAATGCAATCGGAAGCTTCCATCCGACATGACGATGACGGCGGAAAAGGCCCATCTCACGGCGCTGATGCAAGTGACGACGATGACGATGGCGATGACGATAACGATGTCAATGTGTCGGTGGTGAAGGTTCTTGAATGATTATGGCAAAATGGCGGCGATTGCCGATGACGATGACATGATGAGCTCATAATGGTGAAGGCGAAGAAATGCGCGCGGTAATCCAAGAAGTCTGACAAACACTGGTGTTGAGGCACATGTGGTTTTCTTACAGGTTTGAAGAGCTCTGTGATGAAATGCGTCGGCAACCCATGATTTTTGAAGAATTTTGGCACGCGCGCGTGGCGGCGCGCTCGCGTGGCCCACATGGTATGATATGATACGGACTCGCCAGCTGGGCCTATTCTGAATCAGCGCAGACGCACCCCGTGGTGGAATGAGAATGCTGACCCTGAGCGAAACTGCGAAGATTAGATGGATTCTGGTCGATTTCAGCACATGCGCGCGGGTAAACACTGTGCAAGATCTTTGATGAAAGCCCAAAAGAGTGCTTCAAGTTACTAGGCCGCCACATGTGCACGCGTGGACATCGCACCGTGTTTTGTTGCGAAAGATTCTGGTATATCAGATCTGCTGCGATAAGCGAACGCGCGCGCACAGCATAATTTGAAAGGGATTAAAGGAGGAGGGGGGGCGATGCCTGACCTGCCTGGTATAGTATGAGCTCATCTAGGAAATGAGCGATACGGCATGATTTGGGTCGGGCCTGTCTCCCCACAAGGAGATTCTGGACACAAATTACAAAAGGCCATCAACGACCCCAAGTATGTTCAAAAGTGGTCAAAATATCGTCCACCGACTATGTTTATTTTTGCACATTCCTCCTGTAGAGGGACAGGCCCGACTTAAGCCATGATCAGGAAAAGAAAGCGGCTTCACGCGAGATGACACAGCAACCTTGCGCAACGGCCCACGCGGGCCCCCAGCGCGGCACGCCACATTGGAAACGAAGGCGCATTGCGCGCGACCTTACGCAGGCAGCGAGCGCGCCAATGTCGGCGCAAAGGACCCCTTCTTGTTGCGTCGCTCGTATGGAACATGAGCGATGAGGCATAACCACATGTGATTCGCACTGACCTAGAAGGGGTCGGCAAGTCCGGGAGGGAGAGATTGGTAGACTCGATGCTTCTCCTGACAGGAGGAATCGACGTGATGCAAGCGCAATGTGATGACGCGACAACGGGGCGACAACAAACAGCGCTCCCATAGGCAGCAACGGCCCGACAACGGCGGGAACAGACCGGAACGTGGCGAACCCCCGGGACACCCCCGCAGGCCACAACGGATGGCAACGGGGGCGACAACAAGACCGAACGTGGCGAGTCCCCGGGACACACATCCGATTCCAAAAACACACACACATGAGAAAGATGAGAAACCGTACATTACAACAAGGAGAGCGGTACAAACAGAAACTTTCGACGGTCCGCGCGGATTTCTTGGATCTTCGCTGGACCCCGCTCCTTGGCGCGCGGAGCGCGCCAGGGGCGGCGCCGGAGGCGCCGCTGGGGGTGCCCAGCGCGGATCCAAGAAATCCGCGCGGAGCCCAAACAGTTTGTTTATGGCTTTTTGTTCTGCTTCGATGAAGCCAGGCACTGCTAGGGGCAACATACATGCCTTCAACGACCGATGGCTATTGTCTGTGCAGTGTCTCTTTTGTGGTCCCGCCGGCGCGCCCTCGCAGCTGGATCAGCATGTTGTCGTAGGGGTCCACGTGCCACTGCCCTTCCGCCGCCGTGGACGTCCAGCGACCCCGAGGGCCAGGATGCCCAGACCACCTCCTCCTCCTCCTCCTCCTCCTCCTCCTCCTCCTCCTCCTCCTCCTCCTCCTCCTCCTCCTCCCGACCAAGCACGAAATGAGCAACTACAACTGAACACCTACGTTGGCTCTTGTGTGTATCTCTATGTATGTTCCTACACGCGGCAGGCGCATACGACGGGACACACTGCGGCAGGAAGTCTGGGGACACACCGCTCGCCACTCTCGAGCTCCGTGGGGCGCCAGTCGAGCACAACCACGGCCAAAACGTACTCACGGCAGAGGTCGGTGGGGCCCTCCCGACTACCTCCTCCTCCTCCTCCTCCTCCTCCTCCTCCTCCTCCTCCCCCTCCTCCTCCTCCTCCTCCCCCTCCTCCCCCTCCTCCTCCTCCTCCTGCTCCACTCGGTTGTGGCTGTGGCTCTCTGTTGCGCCTGGGCCGGCGGGAGCCAGAGCCCCGACGCCACGATCTTTGTCATGGCGTCGACGCCCAGAGTTCGGTCGGGCGTGTCCCCCTACAGCCGGACTTTGGGCAAAAAATAAAAAAATATCCCGAGCAAGTGCAAACAGAGTAAGAACAAACAAAAAAAAGTCCCCTGACTTTTTGTTTCTGCTATTTCTGAACATGCCTCCTGTGGGGGGACAGGCCCGACATGGCCCCAGAGGTCTCGACCCCTTCCCTGGGACTGTTCTTCATGCGGAGTCTTGTCTGTTGACGGCCCCGGGGCACTGCGAGGGTCTCGGGCAGGGCCGGTGCTCTTGCTCGCCGCCGAAAGCCGCCGTACCAACAACACCAGCGCTACCGCTCGAAACTTCCTCCCGTTTTACCTTGGACTGGCGCGGTAGTCTTTCCCTCATCGGCGCCGCCCCAAGCAACAACAACGCTCCCGCTCAACCCTCCTCCCTTTTTCACTCAAAGCGGTGCTCCTCCTCGCCGCCGAAAACCGAGGCCGAACATAAAGAAACATCTCCCGCCGCGATCTGCCCAGGACCCGAGGAGGTCCTGGGGCGGGGAATGGCCGGCCTACAGATTGCAGCCGCCTCCCCGCCCGCCTAGACTAAAGGGGCCCTGGGACACACAATTACCCTGTGACGTACCCAACCCATTTGTATCAATGGAAACGAGGAGTTGGCCGAAACTTGTATGGACAATCAACTTGATGTGTAAGCTACTTGGGAGGCGTCACTGTGCTGGGCCCCGCAAGCAGGCCTCGAAAGTGGCGACAGTTTAACAGATCGCAGCCCCCCAGGGATGGCGAGGTCTAGTTTGAATCTGCGTGTGGCGTCACTGTGCTGGGCCCCCCAGGCAGGCCTCGAAAATGGCGACAGTTTCACAGATCGCAGCCCCCCAGGGATGGCGAGGTCTAATTTGAATCTGCGTGTGGGTACCCACTATGCTGGGCCCCTCAGCAGCCCTCGAAAGTGGCGACAGTTTCACAGATCGCAGCCCCCCAGGGATGGCGAGGTCCCAATGAGTCTGCGGTGAGTGCCCACTGTGCTGGGCCCCTCAGCAGCCCTCCAAAGTGGCGACAGTTTCACAGATCGCAGCCCCCCAAGGATGGCGAGGTCCCATTTGAGTCTGCGGTGAGTACCCACTGTGCTGGGCCCCCCAGCAGGCCTCGAAAGTGGCGACAGTTTCACAGATCGCAGCCCCCCAGGGATGGCGAGGTCCCATTTGAGTCAGTACCCACTGTGCTGGGCCCCCCAGCAGCCCTCGAAAGTGGCGACAATTTCACAGATCGCAGCCCCCCAGGGATGGCGAGGTCGAATCGAGTCAGTACCCACTGTGCTGGGCCCCCAGCAGCCCTCGAAAGTGGCGACAGTTTCACAGATCGCAGCCCCCCAGGGATGGCGAGGTCCCATGTGAGTCTGCGGTGAGTACCCACTGTGCTGGGCCCCTCAGCAGCCCTCGAAAGTGGCGACAGTTTCACAGATCGCAGCCCCCCAGGGATGGCGAGGTCCCATTTGAGTCTGCGGTGAGTACCCACTGTGCTGGGCCCCCCAGCAGGCCTCGAAAGTGGCGACAGTTTCACAGATCGCAGCCCCCCAGGGATGGCGAGGTCCCATTTGAGTCTGCGGTGAGTACCCACTGTGCTGGGCCCCCCAGCAGCCTCGAAAGTGGCGACAGTTTCACAGATCGCAGCCCCCCAGGGATGGCGAGGTCCCATTTGAGTCTGCGGTGAGTACCCACTGTGCTGGGCCCCCCAGCAGGCCTCGAAAGTGGCGACAGTTTCACAGATCGCAGCCCCCCAGCTGGCACGCAGCGACGAGCGAGGCAAAAGGCAAGGGGGAAGAGAGGGGCGGGAAGGAAGAAAGGAGACGCGCGAGCAGTGCTCTATTCAAAACGAGAACCCAACGCAGGAGGGTTGGGAATAAATCGACACAAATACCAGGATTCCCAATCTTTCCCAATATTTCCTGGGTGTTTGTCTTCCCCCACACTTCCCATATTTTCCCATATCTTCTGGGGAATCGACGATTAATCCCACCAGCCATCTTGGCGTCGGTGGTTTAGAGCGTTTCCTCTTCCACCCCTCCTTCTTCCCTTTCGGGGAGGGGTTTACCCTCCCCCTACCCCCTCCCCTGGACCTGGACGGGGGGGGGTCGCGAGGTGTCAGGGCGTCCAAAACGGCCTCGGCGAGGAAGCCAAAATCATTGGTTTTACTATGGGTTTGGCCCCATGTTGACCTCCTGGGGGGGACCCTAATTGACGCTCCCCTCTTGTTTGATCGATCTCCTCCAAGATGGCCCCAAGAAGCGCCCAGGAGGCCCCAAGAGGTCCCAACATGGCCCCAAGATGGCCCCAAGAGGCCCCCCCCGGATGCCCCCCGGAGACCCCCAAGAAGCCCCAAGAGACCCCCCAGAGGCACCCAAGATGCTCCAAGAGGCCTCGGCGAGAATGCCAATTCATTGATTTTACAAGGGTTTTAGCCACGTGTTGGCCTCTTGGGGGGGGGCACTGATTAAGATGACTCCAAGAGCGCCTGGGAGAGCCCAAAATGACCTCCGAGATGGCTCAAGATATCCCCAGATGCCTCATAATGGCTTCCTCTGTGTGCTGCCCACTTCCCTGATCGAGGCGATTCCTTTGGGCATCGTTTCTGGATGGTCTGGTGGGGATCCTTTTTTTTGGTCGCGGCCGCAAGCGAAGGCGCAGGCGGCGGGTCGGTAAGTCCGGGGCGCGGTCCTTACTAATTTACAGCGAGCAGCAAACTAGAGCGGATCTGGTGGGGATCCGCGAAGCGTCAACAATTGTGTACGTGTTTCTTTCCCTCCTGATAGATGCCTGAACTGGGTACGGAAAAAATGGGCGCGGTGCCCAACAACAAGCATTGTCCCGAACCGACAGCGGCCACTGTTGGGCAGGCGGCCTTCTGTCTCAGATGGGCGGCGTCCGTCGCGGCACCGACGGCGAAGCCTGTCCAAAGTGGACAGGAACTGCTGTTGGACAGCACCGCCCGACGTGATTTTTTCAGGACCCGAGAGGGTCTGGGACTCCGTGGGCCCCATTAACGGCAGAACCGTTGTTTTAAGCACTTCCGAACAAGTGTCTCTTGAAAACGGAAGCGGCCCAACAAACGGCGACTGGAAACGGCAGAATAAGTGCTTCAGGATTGGAGCCAGAACCGGAACTGGTGAAAAAATAGCGACGGAACCGGTGAAACATAACGGCGTTTGAACCCGCAACAGAACGTCGAAACGGAACAAGTAAAACAACAGCCCTGTCGTTCCAGGGCCCAATGAGGGGAATGCCGTCGCGGGACCTTCCACAACAACGGTTAGGTCGGGCCTGTCCCCCTACAGGCGGATTTTGAACGAAAGATCAAACAAAATACTCAAACGAATCTTTAAACATAATGGAAAATCGTCCCCAGATTTGTTTTTGACTATTTTGGAATATGCCTCCTGTAGAGGGACATGCCCGATTCAAAACAACGGCTCAGGGTGAGGAGCCGGTCGGGGCTCTTCTGACCGGGGTCAATCCAGACCCGGGTCAGTCAGGCCTTGCAAGATCCTGCAAGATCCTGCGCCCAAGCCCGGGTCAATGCGAAGGATCCCGCAGGATCCTGCAAGATCCTGCAGGATCCTGCAAGATCCTGCGCCCAAGCCCGGGTCAATGCGACCCTGCCCCTGCAGGATCCTGCAAGGTCGGGCGCTCTGGCTGACCCCCGTTTGCACTGACCCCCGTCTCAAGGCTCCCGAGCCGGGCGGGCGCTGGGGGCGCCGGGCAGCCCCGGAGGGGCCCGGCCCGAAGACGGAGGCCGTGGACAGGGATTGGGCGAGGGCAGCGGGGGGCCTCACGAGGGAGCTGCGGGGTCGATGCGATTGAAGTGGGTGTGGAAAGAGAGCGAGAGAGAGAGGTGTGCATTAGCTCTCCCCCTGAGCCTCTTCCTTTTTTGCACAAACAATTCACAACAATAATTATAATAAAGATCGGCCACGCAAAGAGCCTCGCAGGCCGCCCAAAGCCCCCTCCTCCTCCTCTCCCCCGCCCTCGACCCCCAAATGGCGCTGGACACGCTGTAGGGCGCACGTGCGCGCCGGGAAGTGCGGAGGGACCGGCGAGAGTCTAACTGCGCTTCACCTTCGTGAGTCCGAGTTTGTGGAGACGGTCTGGTCATAGGACAGGGAACCGTTAGAGAAGGAACCCAGGGTCTGGATGCCAGGGGAGCTCCAATCGTGGACCAGCAATGGCCATGACCGCCGCCCTCGTTGGATAAGGACTCCTCCAGGGTCTGGCGCCTCCTGGGACTATTCCTCAAGAAACGCCTCCACCGTATATACTGGACCAGAGCGTTCAGACATCAACCAAACAACAGCACACAACAGCACAGGAACAACAAAACCATACACGCGTGTGGTCGGCGGCGACTTGTGTCCACAAAGCGGTCGGGACCACGGCAGGACGCGTGCGCAGCTGACTGCGGCGAAAAGAAGGGAGGGGCAAGCGGGAAGGAGAAAGCGGCCGAGGAACGGCATGGGAGTTCTGTACACAACCACACACGAAGAACAAACGAAACTTAACGAACACTCCATCTATTTACATACAGTGCGGGCGCGGCCGCAAGAAACCCTCGCAAGGAACCCAACCCTGAGAACCCGTGCTTGAGGTGCACCTGAGGGGAAACCTGGAACACCCTGAACGCAGCAGCTCCTCCAACGGCAGCGGGAAGTCACCGCGCAGCGCGGAGAGCGAAGAAACCCAGGACACTCTGACGAAAAACATATGGTTTCTTGATGCGCACCCCCACTGTATACATATACGGACATGTACGTACAACTTGGCAGCCCTCGCCCTCCGGGTGGGCCAGCCGCCCGCGGCCTCTGTCACGCCGAGCCAGAGGAAGCTGTGCACGTGCTCGACCTCCGCCTCGATCCCGAGCATCGCCTGGGGAGGCCGCCCACGGTGCGCGCCGGAGCACCCACGCCCCCAACGCACTGAGAGACAGCCTTCCCCGATAAGAGACAGGGTGCGAGCCCCGAGGGGGGTACCTCACTGGGAAAGTGAGATGGTTACCGAGGGGGGGATCAACCAGAACATTTCTCTAGACACGAGAAATCAAAAAACGATAAGAAAATGATAGCAGCATCGATAGCCGCAACAGTACTACAACACCAACAGAAACAACCACAACAACATCACCAGCAACAGCATCAATACCACCAATATCAACAACACCAGCAGCAGCAGCAACAACAACAAACCAACAGCAGTAACATCAACACCAACAACAACGACAACAACAGCTACAGCAACAACGACAACAACCAGTTTGGGACTGTTCGCTCTTATCTGCTCGCGTGCCATGTATTACGTGTACCCCAACCCTCGATCCCCGCCCTCTTCGTCTTCGATCGTACACCCTCAGGGGTATATCTCTTACCTTCAACGCGTATGTCGTGCAGTCCTTAAGGCAGGGGAAGCGAGGACGGATGGAAGGAAGAGACAAGGGGGAGGGAGAAGGATGGAGCACGAGCGAAAGAGAGAGAGTACCAGGAGAGGGGGCTAGAAGCAGAAAACACGTGGCATAATCAGACGGGCAGATCGGGCGGGTAGGCCCTAACAGGCTGGTCGGGAAGGCGTGCCCAGGCGGCCTAGTCGAGCAGGCGGGTGACTGAAGCATGCGTCCTGCGTGACTCGCGAGTTTCGAGCGACACGCGATTCCAAAGTCAATCGTGAGATAGGCCAAAGCGAGAGCGTTATTCCTGAGTGTCGAGGGCGCGGCATGCAAATACATTGTAAGGAAGTCCCACGCGAGAGCGCGATTTCTGCATACATTGTGAGTACGTCCCGCGCGAGATCGCGATTTGAGAATACTTTGTGAGGACGTATCAGGCGGAAGCCGTTGTTTTTGTTGTGGTTGCTGTTGTTGGTGTTGTCGTTGTTGTTGTAACGCGGGGGCCAGGGGCCCAATTCTGAGACCTTAAAAAAGGTGGCGGAAGGGCACTTCAAGTGAACAAGCAATGTGACCTGGAGGGGGTGGGCAACACTAACCATTATTCAGTAGTGGGAGTTCAACAACAGTAGCAATAACGGCAACAAAACCAACAACACTAACAACGACACTAGCAACAACAACAGCAACAGCAACATCAACAACAACACCACCTCAAACAACCAAAACAACAACAACAGCAAGAACAACAATGACAACACAACCGCCACCACCACCAACAACAGCAACTGCAACAACACCTGCAACAACAAGTGAAACTGCAACAACAACAACAACAACGACAACAACAACAACAGCAACAACATCATCATCATCATCATCATCAACAACAACAACAACGACAACAACAACAACAGCAACAACATCATCATCATCATCATCAACAACAACAGCAACAACAACAACAACAACAACAACAACAACAACAAGCTGTCCGCTCTCCGTTGCCCGCGCGTCGGTCCACATGTATACCCCCGAAAACCCTGGATAACCAACCCCTCTCCTCTTCGATCGTCCCCTCTTTGAGAATCGACCGTCCTCCCCTGCCACGCGTAATTGGCGCGGCCTCCGAAAGAAAACGGATCAGAACGGAACGAATGCGATTGCGACCCCGTGCATTGGTTGTGTAGGGCAGCGCCAGGCAACTTGCCAGAGAAAATCTGTAAGGATTTTCGCACTCAAAAGCAAGGGAGAGGCCGAAGATCCTGCGACCTCGCTGCGGAAGACCCCTCGCCCAAAGCAGGACCGTCTGAAAGGGGAACAGCCCATGACGGCCCAGCGGCAGGTGCCGCCATGGGAGAGGAGTCGAACATCCACTCCAATCTAACCCCAGGCTGCAACCCAACAGCGACGCGACACGGGAGGGAGGAGGGGGGAACGACGGGCGAGAAAGAACAGGACGCCGCACACAAACCACGTAGAGCCACGCACACCCACACGCACACGACCACGGAAGGCCGGATGCGAGGGAGAGCAGGCAGCGCAAGCGCCGCCGAAGCCAGGAGGAGGAGGAGTGAGAGGACTGGGCACCAGGAGGAACTGCAGAAGACGTGTGGCAACCTTCTGGTCTTGAGACCTCGCTGGCTGAGGCCGAGGAGGAGGGAGGCAAGCAGCGCACTCGAGGCCCGCGCATCAGCGGACGAGAGAGAGGAGGGAAGGTCAGTAGCCAGCCTCCTAACACAAGCAGCTCTTCCGAGGGCCTGGATGGGGCGCCCTGTGAACTCCAATCCCTATGTAGAATGCCTCGAAACATGGAGCCAGGCTTATATCTCAGAATCGGGACCTGAAATCGCTGCCGTAAAACCTGAAGCTGAGAGTGCTTCGGGAGTCCTTTCCATGCAGGATCTAGCACGCGCTCATAATGTTTAGGACGGTCGCCACACGACCGGGGGCCATAACTACTCTGTCGTGTAGATGTCCCTTCGGTGGAAGAGGAAGGGGCAGGAGGAGGGAGGGGGGAGGGGAAACAAGGGAGAGACCGAGGAAAGGAGGAGGAGACGAGCAAGGAAGGGGGGGCGCGAGGGAGGGAGGATGATATTGAGGGCGAAGAAGCTCTTGGGAGGGAGGGGGAGACAAGGGAGAGACCGCGGAAAGGGGGAGGAAACGAGCAAGGAAGGGAGGGGGGGTGATATTGAGGGCGAAAAAGCTCCTTAGGACGAGCGAGAGGGGGGGGGGGAAAGCAGAGCAAGCAAGCGGGCGGGCGGGCCCGTCGGGCCAGCTCCGCTCGGCGGGGGCCATCGGCGGGGGGACGCCCCCTAGAAATTGGGCGGGGGCACGGCGGAAAGGGCGCACGAAAACGAACGGGAAGGAGGGCTCTTCCTCCTCCCTCCTTCCTCCCTCCGTCATCCCTCCGTCCTCCCTCCTCCTCCTCCTCCTCCTCCTCCTCCTCCTTCCCCTTCTCCTCTTCCTCCTCCTCCTCCTCTTCCTCCTCCTCCTCCTCCTCCTTCTCCTCCTCCCTTTCCTCCTCCTCCTCCTCCTCCTCCTCCTCCTCCTCCTCCTCATCCTTCCCCTCCTCCTCCTCCTCCTCCTCCTCCTCCCCTCCTCCTCCTCCTCCTCCTCCTCCTCCTCCTCCTCCTCTACTCATTTTCCTCCTCCTCCTCCTCCTCCTCCTCCTCCTCCTCCTCCTCCTCCTCCTCCTCCTCCTCCTCCTCCTCCTCCCGTCTCTCCTCCTCGTCCGTCTCCTCCTCGCCTCCCTCCTTCGGGCGGGGGCGGGCCCCGGCGGGCGGGCCGGGCGGGCGGACCCGCGTGCGGGCGGGCCAACCGGGCGGGGGGGCCCCGGCGAGCGGGGTCGGCCGGGGCACTGAGGCGGGCGGGCGGGCTCGAGCAGGCTGGTCAGGCGGGCGCGTCAGCATGGGCGGGTCGGGCGAGCGAGCGAGCGAGCGAGCGCGCGACGATGGCCCAGCGGGACCGGCCCTAGGAGGGCGGCGCGGGGGGGCGGGAGCCCTCTGAAGTCGGCCTGGGACTGGCGGTCGATCTGGATGAAAGTGGTGTGAAACGTAGAACATGTTGGACGTCTGGTGTATTCTGTATTCGGGCGGGTCGGGCGGGCGGGGCATTGAAGCGAACGTCTGCAATGAGCAAAGAAGCCTCGGGCGAGCCATGTGCGAGGAAGTCTCGCGCGGGAAGCCTCGGGCGAGCAGTGCGCGAAGAAGCCTCAGGCAAGCAGCAATGTGCGAGCGTTGTGCGGGGCATTGGAGCGAATAGCCATAATGAGCGAAGACGCCTCAGGCGAGAACACCAGCTACGAGGAGAACTCGCGCGAGAGCGCGATTCCTGGGCGTCGCGGGCGCTGCGCCCGACTGAATTGCGAGGAAGTGCTGAGCGAGAGACTGCCAGGGCGCATCGTGCGGGAGCCGTTACTGGCGTGGCTCAGGGGCCAACGAAGCAGTTTGAGCCTCAGGACAACAGGGTGCGAGCCCCGTGGAGGGAGCGCGCCAATTGAAAAAAAATGCGCACCTGACGGGGGGGTCGACTTGGGCCCGGGGCGCGCAGGGGGGGCTGGTGGATTTTATGTGCGTTCTTCTCAAGAAGAAAACCTATGCTAATCTCTCCCTGCGACTCCCTCTCTCTCTCTCTCGCTATATATATCGTTGTATTTTTGTTTTCTCTCTCTCTCTCTCTCTCGCTCTCTCTCTCCCTCTCTCTCTCTCAGCCTCTCTATCTCTCTCGTTATATAGCTTTCTCTTGCTTTGTGTAGCTCCCCTGCTCTCTCTCTCTCTCTCTTTCTCTCTCTCTCTCTCTCGTTGTCTCTCTCTCTCTCTCTCGTTCTCTCTTTCTCTCTTTGTTTTTTTTCCCCCCTCTCTCTCACTCTCTCTCTCTCTCTCTCTCTTGATTGTTTGTCTCTCTAGTTTGTGTTTCTCTCTTGTTTCTCTCTCTCTCTCACTCTCTCTCTCTCTCTCTCTCTCTCTCTCTCTCTCTCTCTCTCTCTCTCTCTCTCTCTCTAGTTATAGCTCTCTCTCTCTCTCTCCCTCTCCCTTTCTATCTGTCTTGTTTCTCTTTCACTGCGTCAGAACTCATCCTCCATTCCATCGGGGGGAAGGGAACGGAACCTCCTATTCCTCCTTCTCCTCCTACACCCTTTCCACCCAGAAGGAAAGGGAAGGGGGGGGGTCCCCCTCGTTCGCCCCCCCCCCCTCTCCTCCTCTTCCTCCTCCTGAGGGAACGGGAAGGGGAGGGGCCGCGTCCTCAGCCTCCTTGCTGACAGAGAGGGCAGGGAATGACCCTGCTCCTCCTCCTATCCCTCCCCCTTCTGATGGAAATGGGCGGGAAGGGGACCTCCTCCTCGTCGTCTTTGAGGGGGAGAGAAGGAAAGGAACTTCATTCCCCTCCTCCTCCTTCTGAAGGGAAAGAAGAAGGAAGAACCCCCCCTCCCCTGCTGTCCTGAAGGGCAGGGAAAAGAAGGAACATCCTCTTCTCCATCCCACGGGAAAGG